AGATGATCTTTATGCAGGAAATACACTCATTGACTTGATGTTGAAAGATCTGGATATAGATTTGAATACAGGGTTCTTTCCCTCTTTAATGCAGCTGGCAGGTACGGGGGTGCTGGCTGTGGGCCTCTGGCTGCGTTTTGACACCAGGACAGAGGGACTGTTTTCAGGAGATGACTCACCTACAGTCTTCTTCACCGGTAAGGCCTTTACATTACACTACCTTCTTTAGAATTGCACCCAGGTTACAATAATAGTCTTTCAGTTAGTAGAACAACATTGCAGCTGTATTGCCAGAGCATCAAATCAAAGTATTTCCTCAATCACAGTGAGAAAGCTTGACCCTCGAGCTTCACTTTACCACACATGAACCAGTGTTGAGACACCTTTTAATTAGGACACGATGTTAGACCAAATTCTGTCTTCATGCACCCAGTCTCAAATAGTCCCAAGTACGTTGTCCCTGGTTTGGTTAGATATGGTGGCAGCCCTCACTTTTATATTTGTATTCCGTCTTCACACACAACACGATTAGTGTAAACAAAGTAATGGTGAGTGAAAGGCAAGTATTTACCCCAAAAAAGGCAGAAGCATAATGCGTTTAATCAACTCAGGCCACCCTTCACCCTACATGTACATGATATTCAAATATATTAGATATTCAGGCTTTTTACTAAATGATTAGCACCTCACTGTATGTAGGTATAAGATTATTCATCTGGACCGCTTCCACACATCCTCTGCACTTAATAATAACAATAAAGGCCCAATGCCACTCACATAGCTGTCTTTCCTTTTGGGCAATTCGGCACCACAAAATGTCCCTTCAATGTTTTATAGATACAATCGTGAGTTGTCCTTGTCCTAAAAAAAGTCTTGAAGTGTACTACTACGGGGTAAACAGGAAGGGGTCTAGTGATTTTGTGTGTGTATCAGAAGGATGCACCTTTGCTGCAACAGGAACAACTTGACTGTAGAAACCCCCCCGCTGCAGAGGGTAGCTGAGGCCAGGGTCCGTCCTCCTCACATAGCTTCATTCTTCACACACTCACAGCCACGTCTTTGTATCTCCACTGTTGTTCTCTGAAGCACTCTGAAAAAAAGACTCTCGCCCTCCTTCTTGTCTTTGTGTTTCCATCAAACTGATAAGTGAAGTGGGCAGAGAGGCGACAGAGGATTGTTTAGAAATGACAAACATCTTAATGATAGCTTAGGAGGACACATATTTGTGTGGTGGTAAACCCATGACATCAGCAGGCTGCTTATTGTTTCCTACATTTTTTTTTTGTGATGATTAATCATTATGAAAGCCACATTAAAGATAATGGGTCTTAAAAATGTATGGCACTGAAATCACTTTTTACAATTTATATTTGGAATTTGACTTCGGCAATGTGTCCACAGTAATTTATGACTTGTTTGATTAAATGTAATGCTGAACATGATTCATAAACACATGCAGAGGCAGGGCAGTAAAGAAACACAAAGTATGGACTCTTGTGTATCTGCCTGGGTTTAGCAGAGTAACATCCATTTAGATAAGTGGAAGTACCACAGTGTAAATACTCTATAAGAAAGTCAATTAAAGCATTACAAATGTTACTTAATTAAAATTGTAGTATAGATTTATAAAAGTATAATCAGAAAAATGTACTTGGGGTATAAAAGCATAAATACTTGATGCAAAAAAATATCGACAAATCATAGTACCAATAATTCCCTCTGAAATATATAGGTAGTAGAAATAGGAAGTAGCATGAGAGCACTTGAGTAAATCTCTTGAGTTAATGTGTTACTGATTTTAGATTAGACATCATAATCTCCAGTCTCATTCAGGTAAAGTGACGGTTGACAGATAGTACGTTTGATAAATCAGAGCAGCATGCCACCATTTTTGAAGAGAAAACAAGAACCTGTTTTTTTACAAATTGGAGAATTCCTGGCAAATGGCTTCAACAGAAAGTCAGGTGGGGTTTCAATGTGAAAGTGTAAAGAAAAACATGGGTATCCTCGTGAAAGGGGTCTTCCATAACCTGAATGTCTGTCTGACTTCAGTAGAAAATCAGGAACGGCTCTCTGGATTTACCTTGATGTCAGAGTTATATACTGTATGTGTTGGACCACTAACAAGGTTACATATGTACAAGCTGTACTCATTATCTCATCAGCATGGCCATATCATGACTCAATAAGAGTATTTATTTAAAGAAAAGTTTATGGGAAAGTACCCTGCAGGGTTTATATTGTCCATCTCTAATGTGCATCTTGTTGTGCAGGTGTGTACATCCTGATTGCGGCGGGGGCTCTGATGATGGTGGTGGGCTTCCTGGGATGCTGCGGAGCCATGAAGGAGTCACCGTGCATGCTGGGATTGGTGAGTTATTCTCTGATCAGCAGTGGAACATTTTAATTGGTTAAACTGAACATAATGTTCAGTCAGAAACTCACGTGTCTGCTGAATGAATGGTATGAATGTCTTTCACCTATGCGTCTACAAAATGCTGAGAAACTGAACTCTTATTTTTATTTTTTAGTTCTTCTTCTTCCTGCTCCTCATCTTCGCTGTGGAGGTGGCTGCTGGGATCTGGGGTCTCTCCAACAAGGACAGGGTAAACAAAAACACACACACCCTTTCTTAGACTTCATTATTTGCCTGTGGAGTTGGCATTGAACTCTGCTGTTTCTTTGTCTTTTGTCTCTGTCTGCAGGTGGTGGAGGATGTTACAGAGTTTTATAAGCAGACCTACAACAACTACAAGGACACGAAACAGGAAGCACTGAAGGAGACGCTGCGTCTCATCCACTTCGGAGTGAGTACTCACATGTACATTTACACCTGAGTGTCTTTGCTTACTTGAGTTGTAGAGTTTTGCTATCATGTATACAAGGATGTTTTTTATTCTGGAAAGTTCTTGCGAAACTTTTTTTATCAGGACCTTACTGTAATTTAATGGTATGAAATTATATTTCTACAGAATAGGTTGATGGTATCAATAGGTAGGCAGATTTAGGAGTCACTATATTTTGGCACAAAGAAGCCATGCAGCAATATTTATTAATTTGTTTTTTATATATGTTTATTTCTTTGTTTTGTGGAAGAAGAAGAAGAACACTTTATTTAAGTAAAAATAGCAACACAACAGTTGATCTGAAAATAAATGATTTCTCACATCTTTAAATATAAAGTAGGGGTGTGCTGCTGTAGGAATAAATGACTAATAAACGCTGTGATGTGTGTGTGTGTGCAGCTGGACTGCTGCGGGCCCACAGGGACGGTGATCGATGCTGCTAAAGATATCTGCCCCAAGAAGGAAGGACTGGAGGTCCTCATCACCACGGTAACAACACACACTCAGTGTTTCTCACTGACCATACAGGGGCTCAGTTTGATGTTCTGTTACTGCTGTAATTCAAGAAAGGTTAAACAGGGGAATATCTCAAAAAGGGTAAAAAAATCACAGTTCTATTTCAATCACGTTCTATTTTCATTCATTTTTTACTTGTTCAATAAAGTGCGCTAGAGTTGGACTTTTTAGGTTTTATGTACCCGATCCACTTGTGGAAATCTAGTAGCAACATGTCCATTGTCTTTATTACTTACATCCATTGATCAATGTTGGGTGGCTTTTCCTAAACCACTTCTTTGTGACAGCCTTTTTAAGAATTGTATGAATACAATTTTAATGTATACCCGTATTTTTCAAAATAAATGTTGACATGCCTTTTCTTTCTGCTTCCGTCAGAGTTGTCCGGCTGCCATCGACGAGATGTTCAACACCAAACTGCACATTATCGGAGGGGTGGGCATTGGTATCGGGATCATCATGGTGAGTGTGATGACACATCCTGAAAAGATTTTAATGCCAACATTTATAATTCTTTAATTACTTAGCAGTTGACATTAAAAGAAACATGCACATACATGTTTTGATCTTTTACCAAAGTTTAAGTTTTTCACCCTTTGTATATTCATGTCGTCCTTCTCCTTTCAGATCTTTGGGATGATCTTCAGCATGATGCTCTGCTGTGCTATTAAGAAGTCCCGGGACTTTGTCTGAACAAAAAAAACACCTGTGTTAAATGTATGTCTTCCCACACAACTGCTTAAGAGTTTAAATCTATTTAATGATCATAACAGTCATATTATAGTTTACTACCCGGATCCATACAGCATGACCACTCTGCGACCGTATGGATCCTCATTTGTTTGCTTTTCTTCACTTTGGGTACAAATGTAATTCCTTTGCCTGGGAAATTGTACACTTTTTATTCTAGTACCAATAATAATTAATGTGCTACTTTTTAGTTTCACAGAGAGCGTGTCCGCACTACTTTTAAAGACGTTGCTGCCCTCTGGAGGACGTTGAAGAAAGAATCTAGAATAATATCGGATCAATTTATGTATAACATTGCCTGTGGTTGGTTTGTAATATAACAGGCTTTTTTTTTTTGTAGCTAACTGGTTTTACTTTGTATTTTACGTTTGCCTGAACTTACATGAATTTTGATTTTTATAAACGCAGAACTGTGGAGTTTTATGCAAATATTTTTGATGAATGCAGTTCCAATGTATCTTTAAAATGCCAAATAAATTAACGAATAACCACTGTTTGGTGCTACTCAGATATTTTGTGATAAATTGTAGGTGGGAGGTAATTTTACTGAGCAGAAAGGGAAGATGGAGTACAATTAAAGTGGATACTAAATCATAAGAGATTTCTCAAAAGTACAAAACAAACTCTGAGCTAGCTTACAGTATCCACGTCCTAGTTTTGATGGAGGAAAATACTTCTAAAAGTCTCATGCAAATGAATATTGGCTTCCACATGAAGTAATTTTTTATTACCTAACACGGTAAATGCATAACTGGCCTTTAATCTGCAGGCCCTCATCTGCATTTGAGTTATCTAAATTCCAAATGGTCCAGAAGAGTCTGTAACTCTGCATTTCATCTGTGTTGCTGTAAACATCATTACACACAGTGAGAGAGAAGCAAAGAGGCATTCAGGGTACAGGATTATTTATTCCATAAAACAATGAAATACATGGCTTTGACGATCCTAAAGTTGTGGTGAGGTCGACTCCTCAGTTTGTATAGCACTGAGATGTTTGTCATTGGAGGAGCAAAGCTGGAAAACATTAGAAGTCATGATACATTTCATATTTTTCACTTTATAACGTATTCAGAGGAACACTTTTAGTCTTATGGCATTTCTTGATGAAATCTTGTTTTACGATCAACTTTTGACACTTGGTATTTCCTGTGACCAAACATGACACCAGAATTAGTTTTTTGGCAGAAAGTGAGAATACGGCTGTTTGATTAATTGTTCAAGCCATTTTCTTTAAAGCAATGACAACGGTTATCTGGCTTCCAGTTTTCAAATGTGAATATTTGCTGGTCTTCTGACAGTAAATTAAATGTATTTTGGTCTTGGACTTCAGGTAATAATTGAAAATCATCACATTGGGCTTTGGGAAAGTTTGAAAGTGTACTTAAAACGAATTCGTCCCAAAATCCACTCAACTTTAGTGCTGAGCTACATTTGGAGACAGTCTGGCTTTAGTTCAACTATTCTGTTTGCATGTCACGGGTCACGTCTGTAAACCGTAGTGTTTCCCTAACCTGCAAAAACATAAACAAACCTCTTTATAACACGGTTAGCTCTGAGCTAAAATACAGAATGTTTCAATGATTATAATTCTTATTTAAATGCAAAACAAAGAGACAGCGAATCAAACAGTCAAAATTAAAGCTACTTCTGGAAAAAACCCAGCTCAGATTTGTGAATGGCAGAATAATTAGTGCAAAAATATAAATGGCGGACACATCAATGTGATATAGTTACTAAATATCTGGGGTAATTCAGTGTACAACAATTATTGTTCCCATTTGTGCTACAGCTGTGTGTGCAATGCATGGCTTCGACTAAAGTGTGTACCAATACTTAGTGCAAGGATTGGCAGTGAGTCAGTGTAATTCAGCATTTCAATTCTAAAAAATCCTCTTAGAAGTGGAAAATGAATGAAATCCACAGCGATAATCAGATAAGCAGTGACAGAGAAAGATAAAACATACAAAGTGTTGCATATATTTGTCACAGAAGCTGCTTGTGCTATTGCTTTGTTAGCTACTTTGTTACTAGAGTCTACAGTACTGAATACTGCTGCGGAGTGTTTACATGCTCATCATTTACTTCCTGCTGAAAGGAAAAACCCACCATGTTCAAATATTTTAAAACAACAGTTGGCAAATGAGGCAACAATGTATGTGGAAAAAAAAATCAATTTTGAAAGCATAAATTCAAATATAGTAATTCACAGATTCTATAATGGAGCATTCAGGAGAAATTTGTCAACTCAAAAATGCCTGACATAGGTTTAAATCATAGGTTTAAATACAAGAATTGAAGTGGAAATGATAAACAATTTACTGATGTGTTGAGAAGCGGAAGCATAGTTTGTTGATTTATAAATAAAATCCATTACTTGGACCATTCATTCATTAATAAAGCAATTATCAAACACTTTCTGTACAATTATTCTCCGATTCAGACGTTCAAAGATGACCACTTTTCTCAGGTCATTTTTTATTATTTTCTGACATTTTATATTCTTAATAATGATTGGAATGATCGAAATAACAACCCGCTTCTTTTGCTGGTTGCTACCCTAAACTCAGACATGACAATGTTTGCAGTACATACTCTATAGTTTTTATATATACTACAGATTTGGGAGATATCACGTCTCCGCTTCCAGCATTTGCACCTCACACTGGCTTTTCCATTTGTCAAGTTCATATGACTTAATATTCTTTGACCCTGAATGCACCATTAAATCAAAAGATGGCATCTGATTGGAGTTTAGAGGAACATAATACATACATTTTGTAGGTGAAGACCATTGGGGCCCTCCATCAATGACTGTATTCACAATTTCACTATTATACTCCAACGTTCTGAAGATATTCATTTAGTTAATGAGCAACTTAGATAAGATACCAAGTTCAAAATGACACAGAAGAGATATGACCTACAAAAACCAGACGAACAGGCAGATTTTTCCTTTAACTATTGCATCATGATATCAAACACAATGTTTTCCTGCATGACTTTAAGAGTGTGTTATTATGAGAAAGAAATGAAATAAATGAGCATGTAGACACACCTGTTTCACCCTCCAGCAGTGTGTCTCCAGGCAGAGTTTTGGCCTCTATAAGTACATGATTTCTACACTGTAACACAGTGTGTGTGTGGGTGTGTGTGTTCAGTGCTTTGTGTTTCAGCACCAACAGGTCTGACAAGTTTTCCTCCAGCTGGAACCATTAGAAGCTTCACTGGTTTTGGTCCAAGTATCTCCAGTTTGCTGCGGGTCAGCTGGGAAAAGTTAGATTGAGATGAGCCCTGCTGTCCATGTAGTCCTTCATGTGTCAAGGCCATGTCTTCCCTTCTTCCTCTTCCTCTTCACCTTCACCTGCCATCGTGGAAGTAGAGGTTGGCACATAGACACAGCAGCAGGATGGATGCCAGCATGTAGTAAATCAGGTTCCTGAATTTAGGCTCCAGATCACCCTGCCGGTACCAGTATATCTGACAGGGAGAAACATGAAAAGGTTTATTTATAATGGCAGTTTGGCTGGAGTAGAAATGTTATACATCACTAAGCCACAAAACGTTGTTTTTCACAGTTTTATTTTTTACATTTTTACAAGAAACTTTCAGTTGCAAGGCGGCTCATATTGACTATTTAAACACCATTTATTTTTCACCAAACATGTCTGAAAACAGTGAAAGAAATGTCTGAATTTTTAACCAAAAATCACACATTGTTCAATAAATAGAAAAAATTAGATAAAATAAATACATGCAGCAAAGTGCATAAATACCTGACATTCTGAGAATCGGTTAAGTTTTACTCGATAAAAATGATTTGAATGATTTGTCAACTTTGATTAATTAATTGACTAATTGTTTCAGCCCTGATTGCAACGACTCAAAGCAATTTAAAGAAAAACCTATGAAATGACTGAAAGCTTTATCTGAAAAAGTACGTTTAAGATTCACTATTTACCTGGTTTCCATTCCCATTAAACATCTAACAAAAATCTAAAGGGCAGTCATTTTACATGACCTATTTTGATGTACTTAAGTTATCATTTGTACAGGAACTAATGAGCCTTTCAAATAAAAAACAAAATGGTGTTTTTACCAGCATTATATTAGATCCACATGCTAACAGGATGCACACGGCAAAGAAGACATTAAGCGGTCGCGGAGGTAACGAGGGGAACACAAAAGAACTGATAACAGTCACCTGCAAGACAAAAAGGACAAATGTTAACACAAAAATAATTTAAATAATCAAAAGCTTTTCAGCTGTAACATATTTGGCATTTACAGTTTCATCTATCTGTTATTTTTACTGAAGGACTTTTGCACTTTAATTGCAGTATTTATTTATTAGACCTTCTATGGTGCATGTTAGAACGCAGCTCGTTTTAAGAATAGCAGACAGCGCTGTGCTGGAGGTGTGTGTAAGTTGATGTTCTGCAGACAGACAGTGTGGAGAAACACTGTCTGTCTGCAGAAGGAGAAGTAAAAACACATGATTCATTGTTTTAACTGCAAACTCCCTTTTCCTCTTGTGTCAGCATCCATAAATAGATTTCTTTCAGAGATCAGGAAACATTGCGTACAACTCGTGGCACAGGTTACACTTTAATGCTGAAAGTAAAACTATAAATGGGTTCAATGAGGAAAATTGAAAATTGATTTTTAAAAAGATCATAGAATTTATGCAAACTTAAAAAAGATGCATAATAGCATGTAGGAATTTGAAATAAGTACAGACGTCAGATCAGTTATAACCATTCAGACTTAAAAGGAACCCTACGCCCTACCAAGTCTAAAGCTAAATAAAACGCTTTATGCATTCCAACGAGGTGCACACACAGTAAATGCCCCTTTGCAACTGCAGCTCTAAAGTTATGGTAAAGAAATACTCTTGCACACTACTATCACCAACACATTCACTACAGTCATTAAGAACAGAAACAAATAGAACAAACATTTTTATTTTATACATTAAGTAAGCCGCTGTAAAAGATTTGGGTGATTTCTCAAGCTTTTACTTTGGAGCAACATCTACATATGTAAGTGGTAAAAGGACATTCAATAATGAGTACTTACTAAAACAACCAGAGACGTGACTCCCCCCACAGCCAGGTTGACGATTCGATCCTGAAAGGGACAACGTTTATAAAAGATGATCAGATTTGCATCGTCCGTTTATTTAAAGCCTGATATATTGTATTCCTTAGAGTTCTACATTTGTTAAAGACTGAATGTGAGAGACACAACAGGGCAGGGAAGCCAGAAAGAAACATATATGCATGTAATGTATTATTATTCATAACATTAAAACGCTAAAAATATTGTATCATACATATTTTTACATATGTATTGTTGTTATATAGTACAATGTGCAAATGTTTACTTCTTTACATTCAGGAAGTGTTTTTATATTATTTTACAATATTCTAAAATGAAGCAACTGTTCCAAAATCCAAGTCCCCCCCCCGGGTTCAATAAAGTAAGGCTGTTGATTCGAATGTTTTCATCCCACTCCCTCCAGGCTCCTACCCGCGCCGAGGTCTCCCCGAACAGAGGCCTGTTGTCCTGGCCGCTGGTGCCGTACGTCCTGGTGCTGAAGTCATCCATGGCCGGCTCTGTAGACACCAAACCCTCTGCAGCGCCCCCCCCCCGCCCTCTCAGCTGCGCCTCCTCTTGGAGACCCCGGGCCAGTGCTGCATGCTAGCTAGCTCACAAGCTAGCCTCCGTCTGCGTCCCGCTGCACGGCGTCAGCAGAGTGGGAGACTCGGATCATCAGGTGGGTGGGATTCTTTATCTGTGGCAGAACATCACAACAGGAAATGTTTACAAAGGGTGCAGTGCACAATCAGACACTAAAAGCTCTCTCATCATCATCATCATCATCATCATCATCCTCATCATGTTCTGGAACTTCCTGCTTTTCTTGTAAGCCATAAAGAAATACATGTTTTATTATTTCTGGCAAAGCAATAAAGAGTTCACAAAATCAAAGTGTTGAAAGTACGGCTGCAGGGAAGTTAAGTTTATGAGTATCACATCAAATGTATACTCTTCCTTCATTAATCCACTAAACAATTGTTTTTATTCATTTATATTTCTTATTATCTTTAGCACAGCTTTTTATTGCTTAACTTTAGATAGTTAAACGTACTCAACTTCAGCAATAGCTGTGTGATTTTAAAATGCAAAATTAAATTAAACAATGATTTTATCAGCAGACATTTTTATAAACCACAATACTGCATAGCATTCAGTTGATAAGGTCATTTAAAAGCAAAATGCTGTTTCCTGCTTCTTAAAATGCAAAGACGAAGAATATATTTCAAGTTTTGGATTACTATGGCAGCGTTAAAACTCTAAGAGAAACGGTATATGTGTGTATATATATATATATATATATATATATATATATATATATATATACACACACACACCGTGGAAGTAATCCGCTGATTATTAAAACGCAAAAGAAAACAGATTCTTATTGAAGCTTATCCTCTTCACTTCCTCTTTTCTCAGGTGCGATAACAACCACAAGTCAGTTCCATCTCACAGAAACAGAACAGCAAGATGATGATAGCGGTTTAAAGGAGGAAGCTGAAATCAAAATAAAGTTTAACTTCATAATGATTCAGCTATAATGTAAACAAAATAATAGTGTTCTGTTTAACAGTCTAGTTCATCTAAAGTTTGAACCTGCTTTAAACCCCAATAAAAACAGTGCTTTTATTCAGCAACTCTTTTTCATTGATTCATCATAATGTCAGTTTTTGAAATCTTATGTGAATCTCTGTCTTGGTGATGTCCTTAATCTTCTTAAAGCTTTCTCACCACAAGCTCCAGATCAGCTAAAAAAAAAAAATGGATATTGCGACATCCAAGATTGAACTTTGACTTGACGTTTTACCCAATACAATAGAGACCTTAAAAGAGAACAGCTTGTACGGCCTTATCTTGGATCCATTACATTTTTGAAAGAGATTTTAAACCGAACAACATCCAGAGGATGGTAAAAGTACTTTTACCACCCTGAGCTTCCTCTCACGCCCACAAAAACCACTACTTGTATAAAAGTATTTGTTTAGGAAGAGTTTTTCCACCAAGTATCAAAGAGGCCCAGGGGGAAACCACCATGAGGCATTTTAAAGCAATACATTGTTGAAACAAGCTGTAAACATTTTTGATTTTCCAGCTTCCTTGAATTACGGTTACGTTTCTTTCTCACAGCTGCAGTTGCTTTCTTTCTGGGTCAGAAGGCAGCAGGAAAGGAAATAAAACCCTTGCAGAGCTTTCTCAGCAGAAAAAGCCCACAGTGGAAAACAAGAGCTTCGTTATAACCAGGCATAAACCTGGCCTAAAGCTACATTCCTCCAGAGCCTTGTGATTCACTAGGCTTCTTAAACAGAAAACCCACGACTTAACTGAGCTAGGAAGACAAATATTTAGGCATGTGTGGGCTGATAGTAGCTCCATAAAACCTTGAGACTTTATCAAAACAAATCAATCATTTATCTCTTTTCAAATCAGCTCAATACTAAAGACACATTCATTTGTGCATTTAGGTAAGCTTTATATTGGTTTTGTCAACTTGTCCACTACAAGACCACCAACATCTAAAAGAATTCACTTATTCAGACTTTCATCATTTATTTATGTGGGGATTGTATGTTTGATTAACTGATTAGTGATATAGTCTATGCAATGAAAAATGCCATTTACAAGTTCAGAGAAATGCCTCAGAAACCAAAAATATATTACTCTCTGATAAATCAACTCATCTTAACAGCTGTACAAGTAATTACAACAAATAACTAAATAAAATCATCGATAATTGTATGACTTCACAGCTTGAGATTTGTATCGATTGTTAGATTTTTTCTTCAAACCCCTGCAGGCTCACTGGGTCAGGGTGTGTTTGCCATGTGATTCAAACTGTTTTGCAATGTGTAAAATAATGATAATAAAATGGGTTAATTCCCATATTATCCACAAAACGAGTTGCAGTGACAGTCGGTACTAAGAACTTGAAAGACAAGGGGGTAGGAATAGACGCTTACATTAGAAAATATAGATGAGTAAATTAACTTAAAGCTTTAGATATAGAGAAGACATTGTACTGCTCCAGTCATAACAGTAGCATGTTGTTGGGATGTTCAGAGATTAAATCTGGAGCAAAACACACAAATGAACACAATGTCTGTGACATCTACCAATTTATAGTAGCAATTGTCTTGATTAGTAAATGGCGTACCTTGCCAGCAATAGGTAAGAAAACAAATGAAACTTTAACATACACAGCTTGTTAGCCTTGTAAGTCATAGCCAAATAGCAACCTAAGCATACGTTACCTTTAAGTGAATAGAATAAACCGAAACTACACACTATATCAGTTCATCCTACAAGTCAGGTATAAAATAACGAATATAAACGACACCATTAAGGCTACCTTCTGTAGTGTTAGCTAACTTGAGCTTTACCCGTTACGAGGCCAACTCTAAAGCAGGTAGCTAACGATGCTAAGCTAACCTGCCAGAACTACATTGAAAATAAGACATTTAGAAGAAGCTGTAAGCTAATGTTTCTACTATTCTACTTTACTGGCTCGCTTACCTTACAGCTTCCATGTTGACTCCAATGGAAACATAACTTCTGATAATAGTGTCGAGTATAAATTAAAGGGAATAAGCCAGGTAGCTTCAGTTCAAGCTGTTAAAGGCGAGTTTACTGTTGAGCCGACAGAGCTTGTGTAGCAGGTTCACTGACGCAGCTCGCCAAACTTCATTCAGAAAGTAACCTATTTAAACTGTGGATGCTATTATGCTAAATTACAAAAAAAGAACAGTTTTCCTGTAAAACTACATTGAATTTAACCCAAGAAAATAATAATATTATCAACAAGAAGAATTATAACATAGTTAAATAATAACCTTAAGAGACAGATAGTTTGTTTACCTTATGCATACAATACTATAGAAAACATTAAATCTTCAAAATCATGAACGGAGTTTGGTGGGTGGATGTGTAACTCACCATTCATGGTGTTTAAGTCCAAACAACTGTTTTGTAAGTATACAAAATAGACATACAGTTAACAGTTTAACTTTTTGAAGATCCAAAAAATGCCTTGATACATTTTAAAATATAAAATGATGATTACTACCTTATGATTTAGAATGATTATTGAATCATTGATGTAGTTTTATCATGTAATGTAAGTAATGTCATTTTGCATTTCTCACCTGCCTTGGTGTGCAGGGCTGTCTGTGCAGCAGGAGTCAGTCACTTCAAATGGTATACTTCTCTTTGCAACACCACGAGTAAACTATCTTTCTAATGAATAAAGAATACATTTCTCATTAACCAAGCAGCGATATGTCCTTGATGTGGGGAAGAAAAAAACAGATCTGAGAGCAATGGGGGCTCTATTCGTAATCTCACCCCTCATGTTAGCATCACATGAGGAGAGTGTGACAGGCCTAATCCCAGCAAAATAAAACATCAAATGTTTAAACAGGTCATGAGTGGGAATAACATCTCTCCTCGTTAAACCCTGCAGCTTAATACAGTAAGAAAAACATGTTTGGTTACTGTAATGATGTAATTATAACTGAAGGCATTAAAGTGATCGCATTAAAAAAATCCTACACACAGTTTAACATGCCTTATTTGTTTTTAACTGTTCAGAATCAACTGCAACTCCAGGATAACTTCATTCAAAAATCTCATGTTTGGGGAATAATAATTCAAAAGTATCCATAAACACAGAGTAAGCCGTCTTCTGTCTCCTTTTAAACTATTATCATATACTGAAAGTGAGTAGGCAGGGACTTTTAAGTGAACTATGGCTTTGGTAAAACCATGCATGCAGGAGGAAAATCAGGTTCACATTGTGGGGAACAAAATGCACTGGTCCAAAAAATACAATCACCCACCTAGATGATCACAAAAACAATCTTATCAGCTGTTTAAAAAATCCTTTATTTGAAAACAGAGGTCATCTTCTTCGGCAGGGGTGAATCTGAGATATAGTGTGTGTCAACAGGCTGTATTATTATATTGATGGAGGCCAGAACACCTTTTAATATGCATACACTTTGACTTTGTTGATGTCACGTTCCTCACATTCCCTTTTCCTGCTGTAGTAATAAAATGTGTTGTCTCGACGTTGGAGCTTCTTCACGAAGCCGGACTCTGGCCATTTGTCAACCTGAGACAGAAACATTTTTTTTAATAACCTCTAACATCATTTAAAATTGGTTATTTTACTGGAACTCCTGGTTCCTCTAATCTTTTGTTACATTAAAAGGAAAGGACACAATGCCTACAAGTATTTTGTTCACAATGAAAATAAATTAGTATGCTGTCAATTTGGGAGAACAGAAGCTTCATATAAACAAACAAAAATAGAGTTTGTGAGACAAGTGATATGCCATTAAATGTACCAATGAACACAACAACAAACTAATAACAATAATATGTACAGAGAATGATATCTGTTTTAAGTTGACCAAATTCTAAAGATAGATTTAATAGATTAAAAATGGTCCTAGACAAAAATCAGGACCTTGTATATTGTCTATATGTCTAAGTTAATTTGTTTGCACAATATTCCTGACACAATGACCATTTGTTCCTGGGTTGCATTTACAAGAAACATTTGGTGTTTGATGTTTCGATAAAGAAAACAATAGATGACAGTGATCCTATTTGTGAATCATTTCCACATTCATATCATTATACTTACCAAGGACCCTTGTTTGACTTGTATGTACTCCAGTTCATCTCTGTAGCCGGCCTGCTGGAATCTGAAAAGGTTTTCTATCTCTGCGGTCCATCCTTTGGCTCGGCTCATGGACTTTGGTGTAGAGTTGTTATCAGTAGTAAAGGACATGGTGGTGATGCTGGAAATATTACAAAATGCACAAGTTATTACATTTCTGCTAAACAGAGTGACAAGTTATAACAAAAAATGCTTTATAATTGGCCTTACTTGCCATATGCTTAGCTTTGTTTCACTGGAAAGATGCACACCAACCTGTCAATAGCTCAGCTTCCTTTGTTTTTATCCTTATTTATGTATTATTTGTTTACATTATTATTGTATGTTACACTTTTTTTTATTATCACTCTGTTCCATCCTGTTTTTCTTGTCTTTTGTGTGTATGTCAGTCACTATATTATACAGCATTGTAAAATAACTTTAAAAATATACAATGTTTAAAAAAATGTTTCTACACTTTAAGAGGGAGCAGTAGAAGATTACCATACCACCTTTTGATTTATATTCCTTTATTTCATTTCTGACTGGTTTTATTGGATTAACACAAAAACAAACATGTATTCTAGGGATTAGGAAAATGTATATTCGGCTAATTTCTTGTTTTTTTCTTTTATATTCATCAAAACCATGTGTTGAATCAACAATGCACAAGAGTTTAAACATTTAGTTAAGATGTGGAGGCTAATTAGACATGAACATGATCCTACAGGCGACAGATGGCAGACGGAACTGACGCATTTTGTCAGTCAGACTGTGAGTGTCGAAGTGACATTTCAGTAAAAATAAGTGATGCTTTACAATGCGTGCCGAACTTAAGAATTGGCACTAAGCATTGTGACATATTAAAAAGAAAAGTAAATTGTGTTCCTCGATTAGTTTCTTTGAAATACAACATTCTTAAATAGAGTTTCGAGCATTACTGTAAACAAAGACTATATTATGACCTCTACTTTTTTATAACGTCCATTAAAAATATCTTACATTCTCATACAGTTCAATTTCCATACATTACCCTACAATTACTTGATATAAAATACTGATAACTGTTTACTTACATTTGTTTGGAAAACTAGTTTCTCTCGGACGTCAGTTAGCATGCGGTGATATTTATTAGCTTTTCTTTGGTTGCCTGGTTACCGTGAGGTTTCTTCTTCTGTGTTGGAGGACAACAGCCAAAAGCTTCCAGGAGATGGGGCCAAACGACAAGGCAATACGTTCAGCAGCAAAACAATACATAAACGAACTACTGACGGACCGTTTTGTTGGATCTGTTAACATGGTTTTCCCTTAAAGGGAAGCATGTGTCAAGAAAAGTGTGAAACAATATTTACAGCAGAGGCTCAATTCAAGAAGAACACCAATGAGTATACATCGACACTAGATGGCGGTAATATTTACCAAATGCACTTGAATCGTCCGAAACGACGAAGACGACGAAGAAGAGGAACTGAAATTAATGGGCGGGACAAACACTGGAGATGACAGCAAAATATGCTCTCTCCGCTGGACATAACATTACAATAATTTCACCAGATACCACTAAAACAGTTTGGCATAAACATGAGTTCATTTGCAGGTCGAATGAAGGAGTATCCCACCATGTCTTTGGATCGGTTCGACCGGGAGAACCTACATTCCCGGGCATATTTCCTCTCCCACTGCCACAAAGGTGAGCCTGGCAGCCAGCTAGCATCACAAACCATGAGTGTTTAATGGAAGTTAGGATGAAAATGGATTATCCACAGACATATAACACCAAATTACAGGTTGTCGTTGTTGTTTATCTGTTTTATCTTATTGACAGATCATATGAAAGGACTAAAAGCACCGATACTCAGGAGAAAACTGCAGTTCAGGTGAAGTTTTTATTTTATAACTTTATTTTTATTTAAGTACTGTAGTTGAAGTACATTTTTAGGTATTTGTACTTTGCCTTAGTATTTAAATGTTCTCCTTCTAATCCACTAAAATGTAGTGAAAAATATTGTATTTTGTTACATTATGGATAATTTAAGTTATATGCCAGATGCAAGATTATATGATGAAGCTTTATTGCTAAACTGAAAATAAATAAAGAATTCCACAAAGTTACTTGGACACATACTGTAACTCACATAAACTAAATGGGGGAGATATCATTTATATGTTGCTATATTATTGTTTTCTCTCTTGGTTTATAGTCGTACAGTTAGGCTTTACTGCTCCTTCGTGACCAAAGAACTTCTTCTGAACAATCCCAAGTACGCTTTCTGGGAGGAATACATTGTAAGTTACCTTTTATTCCTCTCATTTTTCATTGTGTATGCATGTGATAATTAGAGCATTCATCCTGTGACAGACGTTTTCTACCTTAAGTTGATTCTCTGTGTGTCAGAAAATATGTTTTGTTTTTCATGTCATGTTCATCTCTGCTTTGCTTTCTAGTATTTTGGTCAAATTAGAGGTTTTGTCCCTTTTCCCAAAAACTTTAAAAAAATAATTTTCTTCTTTTTTTTATCCTGGTAAAATTACATGTTTTAGGTTGCATTAGAGCTGGAGAGTCCCACTCAGATTTCTCTGGTTGATGAGGCATCTGGAGAGGTAAACAACTGAGGATTGTTTTGTAGTCATTCAGTCACACATGTAGATTTAGTTTCCTAATTGTAAGTGTTTCCCTATTTGATTTTCTGTAACTCTCTTTCTGGTGTTAATTTGACAGAAAGAAGAGATTCTGGTCACATTGCTCGCTGCAGGACATTGTCCCGGCTCTGTTATGTAAGTTGAACCTCAACTGTCTTAGACTTTAAGAAAGTTGTCTGATTTGATTAATACAAATTAATATTTTGAAATGTAACATATGTATAGGCTATTTTAAAAATACAGGTCTGTCAGGGCAAATACATATTCAAACCATGTTAAAGGTTTTATTTTGGTTTGAGAAATGGTGTGTGTGTTTGCAGGTTCCTGTTTGAGGGTTCTCAGGGGAACGTGTTGTATACAGGAGACTTCAGGTTTGCAGCTGGAGATGTGTCAAGAATCGAACATCTGCACTCTGGCACCAGGTCGGTCCTGATGAACATCTTCACAGTTTTCTGCCTCTTCAAGTTTCTCAAAAGTAACAAGACAGTAAAAGTTTAGGAATTGGATAATGACTAAATGTAAAAATGTCACCTAAACCCCGTCTTCAGACACTCTCCCCCCTCTTCTTTGTCACCTTTGCCTTATCACAGTTTATGTGTGACGCTGTTCTTTCATGTTTCAGAGTGAAGGATATTCAGAGCATTTATCTGGACTCAACGTTCTATGACCCACGATTTTTCCAGATTCCCACTCGGGTACGTTTCTGGGATGGTCTCTGGCTATGAAGTACAAAGAGGAATTGTTGATAAAACTCATACTAACAATAGTTCATTTGTTTTGATCTAAAATGTATTTGAACCATAGATGCAATGATTGTAATTTCTCTGTGTGCAGGAGGTGTGTCTGGACGGTATCTCAGAGCTTGTTAGAAACTGGATCAGTCAGAGTGCTTATCATGTTGTGTGGCTCAACTGTAAAGCTGCATATGGATATGAATACCTGTTCACCAACCTGGGAGAGGAGTTCAACACACAGGTAGCGCAAACATGGTTCTGTTTTCCATAATATCCTTTCATGAACACATTCAAACATGCAGGTGTGGCCATCTCCTCCTAAAGCAGTGCACAATGATATGTTTGCATTTATATTTATTTTACTCTCAGATCCATGTCAACAGTCTAGAGATGTTCAAGAAGATGCCGGAGCTCCTGAGCTACGTGACCACTGACCGCCGGACGCAGATCCATGCCTGTCGACACCCTAAGGTCCCACTTAATGTCTCTCACACACACACACACACACACACACACACACACACACACACACACACACACACACACACACACACACACACACACACACACACACACACACACAAAGAAGGGCCGTGCATTTGTGCTAATAAAAAAACAAGCAGCAGATAACAGATAAGGGTATTTATTACCGTGCATGTAGTTTCAATAAAACCCATAAGATAACCTCTCCCATTGCATGCCATTCATTTTAGAATGTTTTTGTCATTGACACTATTATTCAAAACAAATGTGTGTATAATCCTGTGTCAGTGTCGTTTCAACTTGTGTGTGTGTGTGTGTGTGTGTGTGTGTGTGTGTGTGTGTGTGTGTGTGTGTGTGTGTGTGTGTGTGGTGTGTGTGTGTGTGTGTGTGTGTGTGTGTGTGTGTGTGTGTGTGTGTGTGTGTGTGTGTGTGTGTGTGTGTGTGTGTGTGTGTGTGTGTGTGTGTGTGTGTGTGTGTGTGTGTGTGTGTGTGTGTGTGTGTGTGTGTGTGTGTGTGTGTGTGTGGTGTGTGTGTGTGTGTGTGTGTGTGTGTGTGTGTGTGTGTGTGTGTGTGTGTGTGTGTGTGTGTGTGTGTGTGTGTGTGTGTGTGTGTGTGTGTGTGTGTGTGTGTGTGTGTGTGTGTGTGTGTGTGTGTGTGTGTGTGTGTGTGTGTGTGTGTGTGATGTGTGTGTGTGTGTGTGTGTGTGTGTGTGTGTGTGTGTGTGTGTGTGTGTGTGTGTGTGTAGGCTGAGGAGTTTTTCCAGGGCAGCCGGCTGCCGTGTGGCTGCACAGCGTCTGACGGGACCCCTCTTCAAATCATCAGCATCAAACCATCCACCATGTGGTTCGGAGAGAGGACGAGGAAAACAAACGTTGTCATAAAGTAAGAGCAACTTCAGATGTATCCAGAATATTTGTTCAATTACAAACGCTTGTCATGATATATTAACATTTTAGCAGTCAATTAAAGTGCTTAGTGAAAAAAAACACTGAAAGAAGAATTCAACATAAATCTATGGATGCCTTTTTTCTGTTTTTTATTCCAGAACAGGAACAAGTTCCTTCAGAGCGTGCTTCAGTTTCCATTCCTCCTACTTAGAGGTACTACATATAGATTCTTACAATGTTTATTTTTCTGCACATATGCACTTGCATATCACTCTCAAAAATGTACAATTGAATGTAAAGAACCTGAGAAAGTACAATTTAAACCGTTTTTCTTTATATGTTTTATACTATTTTCATTTTGAGCTTTTTCATTTGAAATGGGTAATATCTCTTAATGTTCTTCTTGAAATAATGTGCTTTAAAATGTATGTGCCTCTCTGATTTCAGCTGAAAGACTTCCTCTCCTACCTCCAGCCCGTCAACATCTACCCCAGTGTCATCCCTCTTGGTCGCACACTCACTGAAGTTACACAGATGTGAGTGAAGATTTGATACAACACGTTAACCTCCAAAACTATTTTAAGACGTGTTGTAAGAGTCTGAGTTGTTATTGCATTTGCCAGACACTTGTTGACACTTTGTACTTTAACAGGCTGATGCTGATGTGCAGGAACCAGTCGGATCAAGCAGCGACAGTATACAAACCTCTGGGAGCCCTCAAACGCTGCATGGTGAAGCGACCTACATATGGTGAGACACACACTCACACACTTTCATATACATTATATAACCACAACAGGTGCTGTGCAAAATGTGACATCTGTTACAGTTTCCTTAGCCTCAATGCCGGTTTACAGTATGTGGAAATTGATATATGAAATGTTGTTTCGTGGAAGCTAGCTGAACGTTTGGAAGGACTTTTCATTCTTTACATCTGAAAATATAAAATAATACATTCTGTTATCAAAGCTTCATTTGGAGCTTCTCTTTCAAAAACAAACCACAAAGAGAATTAGGAGCATTCTTACAGCTGGATATCTTAGAGATACCAGGTTACCTCTCTGAAGATGTGTCCCCCAACAGAGCGCCGACCCCGGCCCTTTTCCCTTTTTGACGCCCCTGAAGCCCAATAACTTCTCCTTGGTAAACACGCCGGCCCAATGAATGCATGTCTGGGTCCTGTGTGTGCATGTGTGTGTGTTTCGGGCCTGTGTGTGTGTGTGTCTGTGAGAAAAATAACAATAGAGTTAAAAGTGAATGTGCATCTCTAATGAAGTTCTTTATTTTGGTACAGCAAATGATATTCCGAAGATATAATAAGGAGAACGGATGACTTGCCAGCAGATAATGGGCAAAACAACACGCTATACAACGTTTTGTCATTTAACAAACTTAAAGGACCCATGTCATGCTTTTCCGGTTATTACCCGTCCCCTTGTGTGTTATGTATCTTTTTCTGCATGTAAACGGTCTGCAGAGTCACAAACCCTCAAAGTGCACCCTGTAGCGAGTAAAACTCTAACACAGAAAATACCTGTCCATGCTGCCCCAGAACGCCTCGTTGGAGATTTCTCTTTTTCCATTGTTTACATCTTGGGTATTATTACGTTCCCTTCTGAGCTAGGGGAATCAAAGGGAAGCAACACAACCAGAATGGGATTGGTAAAAGTTATAAGTTGTTTTAATGCACAACAGGTGAACAAAATGGCAGGCAAGCAGCCTGAAACAAACAAATTGCCACAAACACCGGTTTAAATAACAAACAATAGAGGCCCAGGGGGGGGCAGGAGCTCCAGCAAGTCGTTTAGGACAGAGAGTGAATACACATACTATACAGAGATGCTGTATGAGAAACCAATGTGAGTTTGGAAAATTGCACAGTATAAATCTATTCTAGTAGACCTCAACAATGGAATTATGATCAGTAGAAATGGCCATGACATGGGACCTTTAAAGTATTGAGTGTCTGTTCTCTTCTGTTTAGATTCAGACAGCGATGAGAAGCTGTTTGACGGGCTGGATCTGGCACCAGTGAGGAAGAAGATGGCGCTGAACCAAGAAATAAAAAATGGTGCGTAGTTATTTTAACCCCTTAATTTTGGGGGGGGATTATATTTGGGTGCATGTATAAATGTGTTATTATTATACATTGAAGCCTACAATGGCTCTAATACTTTTTTTAAATGATTTATTATGAACAAACGTTTATTGTTCATCTGTAATCCTTAGTGAAAGCTCTTCAGGAAGCGGCGCCCCCTGTGTCTGCAGAGGAGTCTTTTCCTCTGACAGTCACAGACACGCAGTCTGTTTCACGCAACTACGCAGACTGCACTGAGTCCAATGGTGAAGAGGAGGATGAAGAGGAGGAAGAGGAGGATAACAAAGAAAAGGAGGACAACAATCTATGTCAGGGTGAGGTGGAAAAGACGATAGAGGAAGCTGAGAAAATTGAGGTTGCAGGCTCCTCACACCCGCCGAAATGGGAGGACTTCTTCACCACGGAGACGCTTCCTGACAGCCAGAACAGCCTCAGCAGCCAATTACAATCCTGCTGCTCTGTCCCCAGCCCCTCCCCTTCCAAAATGGCGGGCTCACAGACCCCAGAACTGTTCAGTGAGGAGGAGGAAACCCCAGATGACTATGAAAACTTCAGTCTGACGCTCTCCGCCTCGCTGTCGAACCACTCCTCCCAGAACCAGGACTCGTATTTCCCCGACACGCTGATCCTCCGCCCTGAGCAACATGAAGACTGCAGGATAAATACTCAGGAGAAGGAGAGCAAGGCGGAGCTCTCAGAGTCTCAGGCGTCGTCAGACTTCGATATCCCCTGCACGCCTGAGTCCAAAGCGCCTCATCCTGATGAACTGTCGCAGCTGTACAGGAAGCTGGCGTCAGGAGAGGAGGTGGTCATCAGAAAGGGTAGTCAGGGCTCCATGTGAAGGTTTTGCTGAGCCACATTCGCTCTACTCGTCCACCTACATGCTGCAGGATTACTGTTTCATAAACACTTAATGCCTTTCTATAAGACCACACATGCCTTACAGTGGAACCTCTAAACCTCACACACCTCAGTTTGCAAAGCAATGCACGAACCATTTATTCACCGAGGCACTTTAAGTTCACTTCCGCCCTACATTCATTATTGCACCTGTGACTTGTTCCTTTTTGTTGACATTTTTGTTCATTATTTAAAACATTCCTTCTTTATTATGAAGTAGATAACCTTGTGTATCAAAGCAGAACCTTTTTAGTTTCTTAAACCAAATAAAGTTTTACATTTCAACAGAAAAGCTTTCTTTCAACCATTAAAATTATACTGATAATAACATTTGAATATTCATCCTCGAGAGAAATAGCACATATTTTGGGATGTATTCTGGGAAATTCTACTTATATTTAAAAACTAAACCTGTAACCCTTCTGTCCTGCAATTTCTCATTACTTATTGGCCGACATGCTGAAAACAATACAATGTATCTCAAATATGAATTATTCAAATACATCCTTAGTCACTGTTGTTTTTGTTCATGTATTTCTCTTTGGGCTGGTTAACATAATTGCTCAATAAACCATTGTTCCTCACTTTATCCTGCCGTTTATATTATCTATTTGTCTTTTACATTTCATGGTTAAACAAAAGTCAGCAAAAGGATCACTTGATTGAAACAAGAGAAGCAGCTTTCAGGGGAAATCATTTACTTTCTTACACATTTTAGCATCTCAAAAGGAAAACATTTTGAAGACAGTAAAAAACGAAACAACAAAAACAGACATTTTTGTGTAGAAATGTCACAACAGCATCACAGAGCAAGATTAATATTACGATTGATTGTTTTACATTAACTCAAATACAGTGAATGTGTACTATAGGATTGATGTGGTGAGAAGGAAGGATACAAAGTCATTTTAATAAGCTCTATTCTCTGAATGTGTTACTAATTCAAATTGGCTGAAACGTGTTGAAATACAACCTCAAGACATTTGCAGGTTGTGGTTTATTTGGGTGGATTTGAACAGACTTGAACAAATTGCTACAATATACAATACATTTCAAGGATTTCTTCTGTTAAATAATCAAATTGAGAAACATCCGAGCCAGTGTCATGTGTGTGACATAATGTGCTTTCTTTTAGCCACTTCCTAAGAAACCAACAGGTATTGTCCGTGGGAGAGAACAGGTGGGTTCACGTTGAGCACAAATGGTAAGAACAGCACACTCAAAAACATTCATAAAGCTTTCATTTTGTGTAAATGCCCAAAGGAGAGATGATTTTCTGACGTCCTCTCACAGCAGGAGCCACTTAATGCTGTTCGTGTCCTGGAGACGCCAAGAGTCTGCACGTTATCATTTCAAACTATACAAGCTACACGTGAGTACTAAACGTTAATCCAGCCTTCATTACTATGGTATTATACTGTGGAAACCTTACAGAAACATGCTCCCTAAATCAAATGTTTTATTGAACATGGACATGTACAATTAATATATGAAAACAGCTCATTGATCTATATTTGTATATTCCTAAAAGGCTAACGTCATTTAGTAAAATAATGGTCATTAGTGCTTTTGTTAGGGACTATTTTCAGCAGCAAATGATTCCACATTGGATTGAAGCAGGCTGTTAAAATAAAAATACAGTGTGTGTGTGTTCATGATAATGAAGGTAAATGCCAACCAGTGCAACCGTGTTGCTCATCGGTGTGGTTTTAATAGTTTTCTGACTACAATAGAGCAGTGAGGCACATAAGAAAAGGATTGGGATACACTGACACTTGTTGATTTTTGTTGACTGAATATCACCACACTTATCCCTATTTATATTTAACATTTAGTCCTACTACATATTTGGATGAACTCAGTACTCCCTCAACAAGGAGAGTTACCACAGCGTCTGCCTCTTGTTTCATTAAGCAGATACACAACAAGCCAATAAGGTCAAATGAAGTGGAGTCAACTATCTAAGCACCTTCATATGTTTAAACTGCAACTGTGTGATGAGTCCATCTGCTTCCAAAAGAAGCACACAAGTCTTTAACCAGTGTGTTTTACAACAGGCTACACAGCAAGCAAAACCAGGAGGAGCTGATCCCAGCACAGTCCTCACGGAGGACGAAGCAGCGAGAGAAGATGAGAGCGGCTCCTCATCACTCTGTGAGTCTCTGATGGCAAACTGAAGGACGTCTGCAGGGTTTCCTCTTCTTAGTTCTTCTCCGTCTTTCAGTTCACTAAGAGGCATAAAGAAGAGCAGCAGGATTGACTTCAAGGGATTTATTGAACTGGTCGGAAATGAAACAAAAGCACATTACAGTGCATGATATTTAATTAGTTAATATAACATTGAGCTTTATCCTGAAGGATTAAAGAGAGCAAATGTATATAGTGAAAATAAAAACAAAAATCTAAACTATAGAGATTATTAATAATTTGCAAAAAAGTTATGGCTTCAGAGCCATAGATGTAAACAGTTAGTGGTAAATGGAATCTGCTTCAAATGCAATCAAAACACCAAATAAGTTCAAATGTACTTATTAAACTGTTTCATTCATTCTGGAGCCTAAAGCAACAACCCTGGCACGGCTCTTTAAAAGCTGATGTGGCATTATAGCTCTCACTAACGAGAAAAAAGCAAAGAGAAACTGGAGGTCGACACACACACACACACACACACACACACACACACACACACACACACACACACACACACACACACACACTGAAGCAAAGCACACACACCTGGCTCTTCATTAAAATCAGGATCCGTCCCTCCACAGCGGCCTCCCGAGGGTCGACAAGTCGTGCTCTGTGGACGACAGTTTCATTAATTAACACACACATCAAACATTCAATTAAATACACGTGAAGCACTAATAAAATGAAATATTTAATAAATCCTTTGACAGCTTTACGGCATTATTGGAAAATAAATTGTCGTTCATAACAATTAAATGCATGTGTAGCATTAACAAAATATAAATGCTATACACAGGTTATGTGAATATATTTATATGTATGTATACTGTATGTACATAAATATATACAAAAGGAAACAAACACGTGCCGACTGTGAAGTGGTCGTCAGTGTTTTCTGTCTCCCATGCTCTCATGACCCTGGAGACTCAACAGGAAATTGAAGCTGTGTGTGTGTGTATGTTATTTGGATTTAGATATGTATTAAACTGGCACGTAAGTATGTTGCCTTCAACACATTTTAAAGATCAAACCCAACCACTTTTTTTAAACCCATGATATTTAAACATTAAAGGCAATACTTGTTAAAGTAAAATGTTCCCCTGTGATAAGTGGCCGACTATAAACTTGAAAAATGTTGTGAAAGCTCACATTTGGTCAAATCATTTCAATGTGCCACATACGAAGGAATCATTTTGGGTTCTTGCATGGAGCCCAATGCCATTTAAAAAAAAGAAGAAGGAAAATAAAGCATAGCATTTGATCTCTAATGGATTTTGTTGACATTTTGGATTTTGTTTGTTGTGTGTGTGTGTGTGTCTTTTACCTCTGAGTGATCCGATGTGTATTGTAGGAATGTCACTCAGGTTTGTAGGAAAACCTACATACACACCTCCGTAGTTCCTATATGCACAAACACACACACAAACTCACTGTCCTTAATGTTAATGCAAAATATACTTTATATAATCCATTCATGTATAAACGTACAGAATATATGACTATGCACTAAAAACATCTATTCAATGACTCACTTCCATTTTTCCTCTTCTGCCACAGACTCTTCTAATCTGTCAACAAACACACACACACACACAAATTGAATACGTTAATGGAAAACTTCAGAGAAAGGTCAAACAACACAGACACGTTTTAAAATCCAAATGTGTTCTTAAAATTGTGTGTGTGTGCGTGTGTCTGAGTAAAATGAACTTACACCTTTGTTGAAGACTCGGCTTGCCCTGAAGTTTCAAACAGACAGATGTATAAAATGAATAAGTGTGTAAATGACTTTACTATTTAATATTTCTTTTCACATTATTTTAAAAAAGCACATTTACACCTGTTGCTGTGCTACCGTCCTCCACTGACTGTTATTGTTAGTCGTTGAATATCATATAAAATATAAACAAACAAATACCACTTACTCAGTGTACTCAATGATAGAATATGGTGTCTTTAGAAACAATGTTAGACAGGTGGTGGGTGTTAGCAAAGCTGTCAACAACATCAAACAGGTATGGGTTTGTCCAATCAGCTTTGTATGGTTAAATAAATCCCTGACGATGCCTTTAAGAGCAAAATGTAACAGAACAATTTACCTAAATGACTTGAGTCGTTCAAAAGTTTTGAATCTTTTTATAATCTTCCTGTGTTCTCTAATATTGCAAAAAAAACATTTAAATCTCTTCTTAAAACTCACTTTTATCATCTGGCATTTTCTTAAACAAAACCTAATTATCAAATTATGTTTTAAAAGCACGTTGTAACTTTGATTTCGAATCAGAATCTTTTAAAAGGTGCTATGTAAATTATAGGATTATTATGTTTTATATGCTATTAGATAAACACCATTTGAAATATTCTAAAGCACAAACTCTCACATTGTTTCTGACCTGCAGTGCTGCTGCTGCTGCTGCTGTTCTTGGTGGCTGGTGAGGAATTTCCACATCCCATGTCTTACCTTATCCCACAGAGGAAGAAGATCTGACAAATGACAGGAAGAAGAATTAAAGAACGAGACAGGTATGAAAAAATAACGAGGGATCGGGTCCTTTTTGTTTTCCTCTTTTCCTCTCTCCACTCTGCACTGAACTCTCAGCATGGAGGAAGGATTAAAATGACGGCAAGAAGAAAGAGGAGGAGGGGAGGAGAGAGAGAGAAAAGAAACTGCGAGAAGTGTGTTCACCCCTGCTGTTGAGGGAGTGTGTGTGTTTTAGTGTGTCTTTAAAATCCATGCACAATTGAAAGATGTAGGATGAAGGCGCTTGAATCTATTTCATATCTGCAGCTCAGCCAGAATACAGTTAAGGTTAATTGAGTGGGTTTAAAGGAGAGTGGGGACAGAAGTTTTCTTTTTTTAATAGATGCAGTACAGCTAGCAACACAGCCAAAGAAATATTGAAAATACCAACAAATAATACAAATGACCTTTTTTGAGAGTCAGTTCTCCTGAAAGTAAAGTAAAGCTCATATTATATGTCAAGAATCCAAAGCAACCTACTTCTAAATAGAAGACAATTAAGAGTTGTGCCTCGAGGCAACTTCATCAATCCCGTGAGAACAAGAGATTCCCACGTGAGAATGCAGCGATGCATATCCAGTAATGAACAATTAACTCTTTTATGCTGCAGTTTGCACATAAAAGAGAGAGAAACTCAGGATGTATGTTTAAGTATTACCTTTGCAATAACGTAACAGGAACACATTCTATAAAGTAGGGTCAGACATGAGTTAAAGAAAAACAGGAGGGAGATATTTAGTTTGAATTTCTAAATTAAAGTAAAAATGTTTGCAAAAAGAATGTACTTGTCCAGATTTACGTCCTGCATGACCTTAAATTCTGACTTTATTAATTTCCCCGTTTCTGTCTTGATTCTGATTTTATACCTCAATTTAGTGAAAAATCTACAACAAGCTATGAGGACATTTTAGTGGCCATTTAATGATATTTTTAATTGAGTTTTACAAAAGCCTGTTATCAGATTCTGCTCTGGTTTCAGTTGATAATAATACCAAACTTTACAATTCTTAACGACTGCAGAAGAAGAAGAAATCTGCCTCAGAAAGAAAAAACCGCAATTCTCCCATCAAGAATTGGGTCCCATGCTATATAAATCTAAGCTATTATTATTATTATCACTTTTCTTTTCTTACATATACTTTTGTTGGTGTTATTGTTAGGATCTGTCTGTGTTGTAGTTTTGTATGTCTGGTTATGGGTATTTTCATCCTTGTATATTGTCTGGTCCTTCTTCCTGTGTTTTTCCTCCCGTCGTTAGTTTCCCTGGTGTGTCTAGTTGTCTGATTGTTTTCATCTGTGGCCCTTGTGTTTCTCCTCCCCTGCCCGGCTGTGTCTCGTCTTGTGATTACCCCTTCCTGTATTTAGTCTTGTCTCTTCCTGTGTTCAGTGTCGGTTCGTCTTGTGTTGTGAGTAAACTGCGGTGAGTGTTCTGTTCTGTCTCTGAAGATTGTAGCCTTGAAATAAAGGAATTATTTTGTCACTTAAATCTGCATTTGGGTCCTGCTTCCTGCACACCGTAATATTACGAACCGACCCACAATGGACCCAGCGGATTTTAATTTTGATTTGGACTTGTTATCCCTAGAGTACACTCTTCAGTGTCATTATGCTGAATGGAGTAGAACCTTGGCTAAAAGGGACAAAGAGGCTGTCCTCAAAAAGGCACAAATGGAGGTGGACAACATGCCATGGTTGAGAGGCTCATTGCCTGAGTTTCTCAGAGTTTTCTCACGCAGCCCTGAGTGCCAGTCTCCATTCTCTGACCCTTTCTTGGGATCCCGCCTGGCGTTTGGAGGTCCACGGAGCCTCCAAAAGACTTCTAAAAGACGCAAGGTCAGGAAGCCAGCTCGTACTCAGGTACCGGTCCTAGCAGCCTGGGTTCCGGCTCCAGAGCCGGCCCATACAGCCATGTTTCCGGCTTCAGAACGGGATCTTACAGCCATGTTTCCGGCTCCAGAACCGGACCTTACAGCCATGTTTCCGGCTTCAGAACCGGACCTTACAGTCATGTTTCCAGCTTCAGAACCGGACCTTACAGCCATGTTTCCGGCTTCAGAACCGGACCTTACAGCCATGTTTCCGGCTTCAGAACCGGACCTTACAGCCATGATTCTGGCTTCAATTCCGGCTCCAGAGCCGGCCCATACAGCCATGTTTCCGGCTTCAGAACTGGATCATACAGCCATATTTCCGGCCATGGTTCCAGACCTAGTACAGTCCCCAGCAGCCATGGTTTCAGCCCCAGTTCTGGCCCGAGCAGCCATGGTCCCGGCCCCAGTCCCGGCCCCAGCCGCCACAGTCCCCTCTCCAGTTCCCTCCTCGAGCCCCTCCTCTAGCCCCTCCTCTAGCCCCTCCTCTAGTCTCTCCTCTAGTCCCCTCTGGAGTCCCCTCTCGAGTTCCCTCCTCTAGTCCCTCCTCGAGTCCCCTCTCTAGTTCCCCTCTCGAGTTCCCTCCTCTAGTCCCTCCTCTAGTCCCCTCTGGAGTCCCCTCTCCAGTCCCCTCTGGAGTTCCCTCCTCTAGTCCCTCCTTTAGTCCCTCCTCGAGTCCCCTCTCTAGTTCCCCTCTCAAGTCACCTCTCGAGTTCCCCTCTCGAGTTCCCTTCTCTAGTTCCTCCTCTCTCCTCTAGTCCCCTCTCTAGTTCCCCTCTCGAGTTCCCCCTTGGTTCCCCTCTCGAGTTCCCCCTTGGTTCCCCTCTCGAGTCTCCTCTCGAGTCTCTACTTGAGTCACGTCTCAAGTCCCTACCCAATGTCCTGGTCCGTTGGAGGTTCCGCTCGGGGTCCTGCCAACTCCATGTCTGTCTCGTTGGAGGTCCCGCCGTCTACTCTCCTGCCGGGGGTCCTGCCAATCCCATGTCCTGTCTCGTTGGGGGTCCCGCCGTCTACTCTCCTGCCGGGGGTCCTGCCAATCCCATGTCCTATGCCGATGGAGGTTCCGCTGGGGGTCCTTCCGGCTCCATGTCCAGTCCTGTTGGAGGTCCCGCGAACTACTCTCCTGCCGGGGGTCCTGACAGCCCTGTGTGCTGTCCCGCCGACTGCCCTTCTGCCGGGGGTCCTGCCAACCATGTGTCCTGTCCCGTTGGGGGTCCCACCGACTGCCCTCCTGGCGGGGGTCCTGCCAACTCCTGGTCCTCTTCCGTGGGGGATCCTGCCGAGGCCTGTCCCACCAGCGCCGGTTCCTGTCCGGCCGACACCGGGTTCTGCCCGGCCCCCTGAGAGCCGCGGTCTTCGCCCTCGAGCCCGGCCCCCTGAGAGCCCGGCCCCCTGAGAGCCGCGGTCTTCGCCCTCGAGCCCGGCCCCCTGAGAGCCGCGGTCTTCGCCCTCGGGCCCGGCCCCCTGTCTCTTCCTGCCACTGCCTTCGCCCCTCCATAACCCCCTTTTCAAGCTCTGCCTTGCCCCTGGGCTGTCAGCCCAAGCCCGTCCTCCAGACCCCCTCCACCCAGGGGGGTATGTCTGGTTATGGGTATTTTCATCCTTGTATATTGTCTGGTCCTTCTTCCTGTGTTTTTCCTCCCGTCGTTAGTTTCCCTGGTGTGTCTAGTTGTCTGATTGTTTTCACCTGTGGCCCTTGTGTTTCTCCTCCCCTGCCCGGCTGTGTCTCGTCTTGTGATTACCCCTTCCTGTATTTAGTCTTGTCTCTTCCTGTGTTCAGTGTCGGTTCGTCTTGTGAGTAAACTGCGGTGAGTGTTCTGTTCTGTCTCTGAAGATTGTAGCCTTGAAATAAAGGAATTATTTTGTCACTTAAATCTGCATTTGGGTCCTGCTTCCTGCACACTGTAACAGTTTGCACTCCATATATCCACGTTGTTTTGTCTGTTAAAATCAGTTTCTTATACATAAAGTACCCATATTACAGTCTGTTGCAGATAGTTGTCCAATGATAAATATAAATGTCACAGCATGTCATCTTTATTTCTTGTTGTTGGTAGACACTTAAGAAACGTATAGTGCTCTGTTAAACGGTTTCCAGACTTACAGATGCTTCAATCTATAAGACTGTTACTTTATCTGGATATAGCAGCCACTAGAATGGGACATTGCGTAGAAAGTGGATCTTGATGTGTACAGCCAATGTTATTATCAAAGATGGAGGTAACGAATAAGATCATTTAACAAACATGAGACGGCAATACAGAGTTTGAGTGGTGGTCTTTATAGCTGTAGTTTCCATTAATAACACATGGTGGCAGTGTCGACATGTGTTCATCAAATTATAATCCAGACATCTGAATTTATTTGGGAAATTCACCACAAAAGATTGGCTCAAACAAAACATATTTCTTGTTTTTACGTTTATCTTTCTCTGGAATCTTTTTTTAAATGTTTATCTAAATGTCAAATACTAACTTAAATTGCCTCTGAATTAAAGATCAGTCACCCAAATTATATTTAAAATATACTTTCTAATAAAAGATTATAGATAAATTGTATCTCATTGTTTTATATTACATTATCATTTATTTCTGATTTTATTCAGCAATAGTCAAACTATCTAAATTAGCTCCACCTACATGTAGGGTTATATGCACATACTGTACATGCATTTACAATTATAATCCCGCAATACAATAGATATTATATTACTATGAAATTATAAATTGAATACTTGTGTAGTGTATTTCATGCTAATACTTTATTTACTTTTACTTTTATTGTTCTGTCATTTACTTCTATTACTTAAAGGTGGGGTATGTAATTTATTTCAGAAACACTTTTTGTTATATTCCATGGAATGCTCTTAACATCCTGATAGCAATGAATATATTAAATGCTTTGAGAATAAATACATTATTGCACTATGGTAAAAAGCACGACCAATCATCTGAGCCGGCCCGGCTAAAGTAACTGGATGGTCTACCTGCCTGTCAGCCTTCCATCTGTGCACAAACTTATCTGGTGCCCTCATTGGTCATGTGCGCGTTCGTGTGTGTTGGAGGAGGGGCTCTGTAAGGAAGTCTGAAGGAAGAGGCAGATTTTTTCCGGTTGTGTACTTTCAAATTCCAGCGCGCTCGCTGGTTTCTCCAAAATTACATACCCCACCTTTAAGTAAAATATATAAAACACTTTAATACTTCTTTAAAA